ACAGTCCCCAGCCCGGCAGGGAGAGAAGCCACTGAGGTGTCCAGGCACCGTTCCCCTTCCTTCCCCTTAAAAGCAGAGATTTGGTGTTAAATACCTGCGGCATCCTCAGCTTCTAAGAGCTGTCAGTACATCACAGCAACCTGTACCTGGTTTTATGTTCCCTGCGGTGTTGTATTGGAGTGGTTTTGTTGGGGAGGAGGTTTGGGCAGGGGGTTGCTTTCCTCCCTTCTTCCTGCACAAAATTCACATGGCTTCAGAGCAAACCTGTGCGGGTAGCAGAGCTCAGACGGGGTGTGGACGTTTCATAGTGATTTCTGTCTTTAATCTAACCCAGCAGGAAAGTCCCTGCCAGTGGTGGGGCTGGGTTTTCTCTGCTGCTGCGGTGGCTGTGTCATTACTGTGCCCAGCTTTTCACTGGGTTGTAGCTACCTCGCCACAGTCACCAGCACCTCCGTTTGAGCTGATAGTGACTCTTATTTGTATTTATTTCTCACAGCTCTCAAATAAGCAGCTTCCTTAAAAGGGAGGAGGCGGGAGAGGAGATGCTCCTTTCTTGCTGCTCTTTAGTCCTTGGCTGCTGACCTGCCCATTTGGGCTCAGCACTTGACCTGGACGGAGAAGCCCATCAAATGCTACAAGACCCCAGTCAAAGGTTTACTTTGTTTTAATCTCTAGGGAGGAATAAAGCAAATGTAGAGTGTCGGCAGAAGAATGAGACTGGCTGGTTTTGAATAAAGTTGAAATAAATTTTTTTAAAAACCTGCTTTGGGCTGGATCTTCCAAGCCCTGTGCAGCTGGAAGATCCTGCTTTGGATTTGGATCCTCCAAGCCCCATCAGCCAGCTGATCCAGGTTGTAGTAGAGGAAGTGAAAAAATGTAAAAATTTTTTTTTAAATCTCCCTTGTTTTTCCTTCACACCGTATTAGCAGCGAGGTTTAGGCTCAGTCCTGAGATCAGCTACTAGTTGTCCCCCAGTAAACTAAATCTCAGGTTAATGTCAATGTTGTGGGATGGGGGGTGAGGAAGGGCATGGGAGTTTGGGAGGGGATGGATGCCTGCTCTGCACTGTCGCAAGGCTGGCATCTTTGGGTGTTGGGGTGGCTGCTGGGTCCTCGTGGAGATCCCAGCCGCATGGGGGAGGGAGGTGGGTCATGGGCTCCCTTGTTGCTGATTGCAGAAGCATTTCTCTTTGCAAGCAAAGAAGAGGCTGTCACCAGCCATAAAGAGAGTTGGGAGGAGGGATTTGTTTTCAGGGGTTGTCAAAGCATTTATTTTCCTCCCCTCTCCCCAGCTTCCACTCACTGCCTCCATCCTAATACAGTATTTTTCCAGAAACTCTACTTTATGCAAGATGCAACACTCTTACCAGGGAAGTGAAGTGCCAGCCAGCAAGCACAAGGAAGTCTGAAAAGCCTCCTTCAAGCACGACACCGCTTCCAAGACATACTTGAAAACACTTACATATTTTTTTCCCTTCAACAGAAGTCTATTTAATCCTTCAGCTGGTAAACAACCCAATCTGTGGTGCACAGCAAGCTCTGGAAGGAAACCTCCCTATCACTGAACCTCCAGTTTTGTTCCACTGGAAGGAGAAACTTGACATCTTCACATGGGCCACAGGGCCAGGGCCAGTGGCTCTCCATAGCATGAGGCACCCACAGCACAGGCAAAGTGCCTGCCGCACTCCGAAGGCTGGAGCAGGCAGAGCTGTTAGCGGCACTCGGAGGAAGAGGCCGGCCTGCCATTAGCTGCTGCGCCACGTTGGACTGTGACAGCGCTCAGCATTGCAGGAAGAGGTATGTGTGTGTTTAGATAATAACTATGACGTTGTACACACACGCATGTGTAGACATACGTAAACCAAACGGCTATCAAGTATTACAATCGTATACAAATATAATCGCTCAACATATACTATGTAAGTATAATCATAAATGCTGTTTAATTATCCTTGTAATACATACTTTATACACATATACATATTACGTATAGCGTATGTATCATCACCTGTAAATATTTCAGTTATTTGCAATAATTCTATTATACATTATAATAGAATCATTATTTACATTGTATATGCAGGCACACATGGACATATCAAAGTCAGGCTGTTCTTACTTGCTTTTTGCATCTCTGGTGCCGTGGCAGCTCCCCAGCAGCTCCCATGCCTCGCAGCGAACCCCAGGCCAGGGCCAGCCTGGCAGGGTGGGCGCTCGCCCCCCGAGCCCCTCGCTGAGTGTGCCTGCGGTGCACTCACCCCGTGGCGGCTGTGTGACAGAAGACAACTCAGAAGTCTGAATGCTTCTTCATATGGCAACAGCCATGTTTTGTTTCTTTAATTACTTATTTTTCACAGGCACTTGATGGGGGGGGTTGGAGAAGGGAGAGTTTTAAATAGAGTTTGCAAGGTTATTCCTTGCCTGAGGCTGAGCCGTGTGCAATCGTCATGTCTAACTTGGATTTTTCCATTTGTCTTTGGGCTCCCATTGCTGAGCCAGGGTGACCTTGGCAGTGTTGGCTGGGGTGGCACTCCCTCAGTCATGCCAGTTCTCCTGTCCTAGCCCATCGCTGGCAAAGTGCCACTGAGGACTCCAGTCTGGGCAGAAAATGGTGCTGCAGGCCCAGCCAGCAGGTCCCACACAGCCCAGCAGGTGAGCTGCTTGGTTACAGGGCAGGCATCTAATTGCAGCCATGATTGCTTGGGTGCCTCTGCTCCTTTTGGCAGGGCTAGTGCACTTAGTGTACCTCAGTGCTCTCACCTGGCTGCTTTGGCAGCCACCAGCATCTCCAGCTTTGCCATGGGACATCCCCTCATCCCTCAGCCCAGCTGCTCCTGGCACTCCCCGAGTGCAGGAGTTCAGTGTGGGGCCATGGGGGTAATGGCCACACTTACCCCTGGGCACCAGCCATGCAGGGAAGGTTCATTTCCCTGCAGAAATAACAAATTGTAGTTTTTTTGGCAGCGTAAGGCTTGTATTTAAGGGTACTAAAAGAAGTCCATGCACAGGTTGAAATGTCCCTGCTACCCTTGGGGTTATCCCTTCGCTCTTTCTCCAGGTGACAGCAGCTGAGCTCATTCCTGGTGGGATAGTTGGTTCTGTCTTCAGCTCGTTGGTTACAGGGCTGCCCGAGAGGGGTCTTCACCTCCGCTCATCATCAAATCCTGGCCAAAACGCAGCACAGTGCACGGTGTGAGGTCCCACTGGCCAGCCACACCAAAGCCCCATCGCCACAGAGACGGACACATCCTGCAGGGCTGCGTTTTGGTCCCGTTTGGGATCCTAGCAGTGCATTTGTACCCTTCATCGCCCGACCACCATCTTCCTTCTGGAGATGCTCCCCAGCAGGGTGCTCGGGCAGGGCCGAGGGGCTGACACGACAACACCCTGCTCCGTCCTCCCTCCAGGAATCTCCTTGTGTTTCAAGCCCTCGTAGCACATCAGGCGCCACCACGTTCCCAGTCCCAAGTAGAGGAGAAAACCAAATCACATTACACTTTAGAGGCGGCCTAGATAACCTGGATATTTTCTCGTCTGGCAGGAAAAAAGGGATACAGTGGAACAGTTGAAAAAAAAAAAAAACCTAAATAAACAACTCGGAGCCTCTCAGAGAAATGGTTCCCATCACCCAAAGGCTTACAGGAAATTCAAACGCTTGTAGTTGGGATCACTGGTCACACGGTGTCCTCGTAACTCCGTTTTGCTCCAGTCCTGCCCCGGTTTTCGGTGCGCGGCGCGGAAGGGTCGGGCCGGGGCTGCCCAGCGCCGGGGGCGGCCCCGCAGCCCCCTGGCCCCGGCTCCTGCTGCTCGGCTGTGGCACGGACAAAGCGTTTCCAGACCTGGAAAGCTCCAGCCCGGGATGAAGGCAGTTCCTTTCAGAAATACACAGTGGCCATTTTCTGTTTGCATGGGCAGATTTTGCTTCGGAAGGCGGTATTTAGGCAGGGGGAAAGCCAGGGGTACGACCTATGATTGTGGCTGTTGGTTGTTGGGATTTTTTATTTTTTTTTTTTAGAAAAAGCCCAAAGGTGGGTATTTCCAAAGGTCCTACGTGACCGAAAAGATGCCCTGTTACAGACCAAATCTCAGCAGGGTACTGCCCCTGGCAGACCCTGGCTGAGGCTGGAGGGCTGCGTTCGCTCCGTATCCCCGTGGCTTTGCTGCTGTTGGGGCACTGGGTCAGGTCTGGTGGGGATGGTGGGGGACAGGCTGACGATCAAACAGCTGTGACAACCAGGACCATCTCCGAATCGCCACCATTGCAGGAAAGTTTAGAAACCAGCTGGCTAAAAGACAAAGCCCAGAGCGTGCTGTTCCCTTGCTTTCACTCCAAAGACCCAAAGGGGCTCCCAACCAGCCAGATATTGCCTAAACACCCACAGAGAGCACAACGGGGAGAGAGTCTGTGTCATCTGTCCTTGCCACTCACTGTGCCATCAGCTTTTAAGAGCTACCTGCAGGAACCAGTATTTAGGAAAAGAAAGAAAAAAGAAATCCATCCAAAAATCCGTCCCTTATGACTCTGAATCTGACCCCAAATTATGATTCATGACCAAAAGCGATGAAAAGAGCTTGTGGTGAGTTGAACAATGCTTTTTCCAAGCAGAGGCAGTGCTAAGCAGGGAACGTGAGACTCCTGAGAAAGCAGGAGGAATGCACTCCAAGCCTGAATGCTGTAGATGAAATTTGTTGCATCATACAATCTGGTTTTGTGCTTTTGAGTTTCAGCTAGACGGGGAGATACTAACATAGCATGAGAAAGGCCATTTCTGCGAAATCTCCCGTCCAGACTGGGAGAATCAGTCTGCCAGGATCACCAGCGATTTTATTTACTTTTCTTTCTCATTGCTTTGCTAAACCCCATCTCCAAATGGAGTAACCAAGGACGGAGCGTCAGCACGTAGGTGCCCATCAGCAGCAGAGAGGAAAAAGGTTAAGGTATGACAGTCTGAAGTTGTTAGATGAAAACATTATTTTTTAAAAGAGCCTGAGAGCACTGGGGTTTTATAAAACCTCCCATTGTATTGCACTAATAAGTCAAGTGTTCACAGCCGAGCCAGCAGAAACACTCTACAGCAAATTCCGTTTATTTACAAAGGCAGCCACCGACCCAAAGCCAGACAGAAAAGACTGAAACATGGTTTTAAAGAAACACAGCTCCTTCAACTGGTTTTAATTTAAAAATCCTAGGACTGGGTTTGTCGTTTTCTTTTGTGTTTTGCCCCTTCTTCCCCATTTCTCCTTCAAGGAATGAATTGTCCAAAGCCAACCAGCCAAAGGGCAATTTTCCTCTAGGTGTCCCTGTCCTCATTATTATTCTCGATTTTTTTCTTACACACACATACACAGACGCATACACACATGCATGTGCACACACCCCCCCCCCCCCCTCCTCTGGCCTTCCTAGTCCAGCATCACCTTATCCATACCATAGTGATCTCCCACATCCCAGCATAGTGCTCCCCAAAGAACTTTACAACCCAAACAAACATGGCCCAGCACTTTCTCTGTCCCCTGGTGCCATGTGGCCACCCCATGTGGGAGGCAGCAGCCGCACATGGGAGCAGCACATGGTGGCAGGGAACAAGGAGCCGGCACTGCCAGCTGGGTCCTGCCAGCGGGGCCGTGGGCAGGACACTGTGGAGGACATGATTTCATCTGAGCAGACACCTGCACCTTTGCTGTACATATGGCTTTGCAAACCAGTTATCACCTGCTCTTAAAAAACAGGAGGTGTGGGGTCTGGATTTGCTCAATTTGACCAGAAATCCAGAGACACGCACACAGGCACTGACGGCTCCGGCACTGCAGTTCAGGAGAGAGCACCGTGTCTCTACCAAGAGCATGTGGAAGGAGAGGATCTAAAAAGCCCTCCAGGCTTTGTCAGGGAGAAACCTGTGGTCACAATAGCACACCACTGCCTTCCCCGGCAACGGGGGACGGTGTGGGAAGCTGGAGGAGGAAGGAGGAGAACAAGGCGAAAAGAAAAGGTGGGAGCAATTTTAAATGAAAGGAAAAACTTATATTAAATTATTGCTTTATTTCTGGTTCTATGCAAGTCTCTGACATGCTCCATCCTGCCCCCCGAGATGCCACATCCCTTCCCAAACAGCCCAGCAAGGGGGGGGACAGACCTGAAGGGATCCTGCCCTTGATCTACAGAGGAGTCTCTTAGTTAAAAAAAAGTCCTCAGCCAGGGCAAGCCCTCCTACCCACCAGTGTCTGGTCCCACCACCATCCCCTGTAGATGTTGATGGGTGGGAGGGAAAGGGAAGCAAAAGCTCCAGCCCCAGTGTATTGAGAGGTGTCCTCCTTCCAGACCACGCATGAACAAGGCATCAGGATGCGGAGCAGACCATAACGGAGAGGGCATGGGGGAGAAGTCAACCAAGAGATGAGCACAGGGTGGGAGGAGAGGAATTATGGCAAGATGAGAGTTACCCAGCTCTCCTTCGCCTCTCCCCCCAGCCCCTCTCTCATCGGATGCGGAGGTATGAGGGAATGGAGTAATTGAAGAGCAAGTAGTCCATTTTGTATAAATTAAAGAGTCTCCTTTGGTAGAAGGGGCTAATGTCCTGGAAGAACTGGGCCGTCATGTCATCCGTTGTCCTGGTGGTCTTGGATGAAGATGGGAACTTGACGCTTGTGTCAGCCCCAACCAGCTGGAGGATGTAGTTGGCGTCTTCGGCCAAGGTCTCATATTTGCCCACCACATCATAGTGGACGATGCAGGGGTGGCAGAGCGAGTGCACCCGCTCCCAGTGCTCATTGAAGGGCTCCTCCCGCTGTGTCCGTGGATCCAGCAGGTAGTAGACGAACTCCTCAAAGCGCACATCGTCCCCGCGCTCCAGGGCCTTGTCGCTGGGCTCCTGTCGGTGTCGCCGGATGATCTTGGTCCCGTAACGCTTGTGGAAGGCTGTGTTGTAGCTGCGGGTGAACTTGTTGCGGTACGCGGAGACGAGGCGCTCAAAGGGCTCCCGCACGAAGAGGAACTTGAGGTAGCTGCGCAGGCGGTGGTTGATCTCGGGGATGCTGTACTCGGAGAGGGTGCGCAGGTTGGATGAGATGTGGGCCTCATTGGCGGGGATTTCCAGTGGGTCCCGGTACTTGCCTTGCCCTGTCAGGACCATCATCACCCGCTTCCAGTTAGTGCAGGCCACTTTGGGCACGTAGCAGTAGAGCAGCCCATGCGTGTCATCCACCACCAAGTGCCGCAAGTCATCCGGCCGCAGGAGACGTCGCTTGCGGGTGTAACGGTTGCAGACATTACTCAACAGCTCCCGTCTCTGCTGGTGAACTGCCTGCAATGATGACTGCTCAAACTGGGGAGAGGGAAAAAAATAAAGATGGTCACTAGCTTGCCCAAGCTGATCGTGGCCTACGCACAACGCTTGGCCCACAGCTGTCCCTGTCCCCTCCCCTTTCCTGGGTTTGGCAGTCACCCATGTGAGATTTTTGGGGGCAGCGCTGGCTTTGAACACAACTTGCTTTGGTGCATTTAATCCTTAGACCTGCTGGGGGGCAAAAGACAGGAGGATGACGAGGAGCCGGCTGAGAAGACAAGTCAAAGGGGGTGAGGGGAGCACAGGCAGTGCAGAGAGGGCCAACAACCGAACATTTGTTACGGCACCCACACGCCCACTGGGCTAACGCTCTCTCTTACAGCAGCCCGGGGGGCGTGTGTGGACCGACCCCTCCAGGAGCAAACACCTCAGCCCCTTTGCTGGCACAGGCCCCGCACACCTCCCCACCGGGATATGGTCCTTTTTCTTTACCCTTTTTGATCTTTGCATTTAGGCCTGGCAGCCACTGCACTGGCTTCCCAGGAACCCAGAGCCCCCCGACCCCTGCCCCAGCTGAAACTCCCTCCCCTAGATTTGGGGACATGACCTTTCCTGTCATGGTTTTCATCAGAAATCCCAAAATGTCATTAAAACATCTGGGGAAGGCAATTATTTCCAGGAACTCAGAAGGGGAAGGTCCCCTCCTCCTCCTGCCCACTCACTCCTGGTTTTGTTCATGAGAGTTGGGAGGTTTTGCGTTAAGCCCCGAGGTCATTGCTGGGAACCGCCACCAGCCTGGTCCTGGACGTGACC